TTACAGTTTTATAATAATGTCCCTCCAATCCCTGATTTATCCACCCCCTCAGCCTTCTCCCTGTTCTGCCCTTCAACCCCCCCCTCGGGAATTGAGTCTGGGGGGGTGTTTTGGGACCCTTTCTTCCTCCTCTTCATCTTCTTCGGGGCACACTGTCCTTGGAGCTTGTCCAAAGTCCTGGGGGATACCTGGTGGTCCAGGCCAGGGATGTTCTTAACCAAAATGAAGCCCTACCTTGAAAAGAGGACTAAACGTGCTGCTGGAATTTAGGGGGGCTTGATACGGGGAATATGGAACGGGGTGAGAGGGTCGGGTGTAGGTTGGGTGTAGCTGAAGGGGTTGGGTGTAGCTGAAGGGGAGGGAATAAGTGCAACCGCTTCTGAAATCTACAGAACTACCTCCAAAACCTATAAATGAAAAATCAAAAATCAAAAAAACCCCCCAAAACAACCCTTAAGGCAACAGAGGCGATTCCGGGGGAAACGGGGTGGGAACGGCTCAGGATCGCATTGGGCTCCCCTTACATTGGGCTGCAGGAGTTTTACCCCCAGAAGGCTCTGAAGGGGCTCCCCGGGGTTTGGTCACGGCCCCAAAAGGCTGAGAGAGCTCCAGGAGCGTTTGGGTCACGCCCCTTGGGAGTTGGGATTTTGGGATTGGGGGGAGTTTTGGCGTGGTCTGGGCAGGGCCAGGGGTTGGGCTGGGAGGTCCTCGTGAGTCCCTTCCAACACAGATTTTTTTTTTCTCTGTGATTCTGTGGTTTGTCTCAAAAATGTCCATTTCTGGAAGGCAAACATCAGACCTGAGATACTCGTGGAAGTTTCTGCAGGACAGGGGAAAAAGTATCTCCAGTTTGTGCTGTAGCCAGTAAAATAACCTAATTAATCCCTCCTAATGCACCACTGCTCTGAGGTTTCTCTCCTTGGAAGACCCCGGAAAAGGTCCATGGACATTTTTCCCATCAGGAAACGCCGGCTCAGCCAGGACATGACACCTTGTGGTGGCACTTGCAGAGGAAAATCCCCTAAACCACCTTTACCCTCCTCGTCCCTCCGGCATTAAATCAGAAATGTCCTTTCAGCCCCTTGAGAAAAGGGGATCTCACACCTTTGAGCTGGAAGGCTGATTTGGGGGTGCCCAGATCCTCTCACAGCCCTACCTGGGCACCTGTTCTGCTCGCCCAGGTGTGACCCAGCCCCTCTTTGCCCTCCATCCCTGCAGGTACGAGGAGGAGATCAACCGGCGCACGGCGGCCGAGAACGAGTTCGTGGTGCTCAAGAAGGTGGGTGAGACGGGAGGGGTCGGGACGCTGAGCCCACCCCAGCCCTGGGAATGTCCCGAGCCACGGGAGATCTCATGGAGCTGCGTCCTGGTCCTTGGGAAGGGCTTTAAACCCCCGTTTGGATCGTGGGTTTGGGGAAAAGGAATGGAGGGGGCTGAGGGGCGGCCGAAAATCTCCTCCTGCTCCTGTCCCACCACACTCCCGGGGCTCACCTGGGTAAAAACAGGCCGTGGGGAGGCAGAGGGGGCCAGAAGCGCCAGGAATTCCAGGTGCCGAGGCCAAACAGCTGGGATTTCTCTCCTTATCCCCTTCCCAATCCCACTTTTTTGGTGCAAGAGCTGCCCCCCCCTCCCCGGGTGCTCTGTGCCGAGCGCGGCTGCTCCCCCAACCATTCCGTGATTCCGTGACTGCCGAGCCAAAGCGCCTCTTCTGGGGTGAGAGGAGGCTCCAGGCGCTCCCGTGGCCGCTCTTTTGCAGGACGTGGACGCTGCCTACATGACCAAGGTGGAGCTGGAGGCCAAGGTGGACGCGCTGAGCGACGAACTCAACTTCCTGCGCGCCCTCTACGAGGCGGTACCGACACCCCCCAAATCCCGGTCCTGGTGTCACCCCCCGGCCGGGGGCCGCCCCGAGGGAAGGAGGGGAGTGATCCCCACCTATTTCCCCGCAGGAGCTGGCCCAGCTCAGCGCCCAAGTGTCCGACACGGCCGTCATCCTGTCCATGGACAACAACCGCGACCTGGACCTGAGCAGCATCATCGCCGAGGTGAAGGCGCAGTACGAGGACATCGCCAACCGCAGCCGCGCCGAGGCCGAGGCCTGGTACCAGAACAAGGTGAACGGCCCCGGGATGCCACGGGAAATCATGGAATGGGGCTGTTGGAGCCACGGCTTGGCCCCTGGGACACCCCAGAGGGTTCGTCCTCCCTTCCGCCCCTCAGTTTGAGGGGTTTCAAATCCCCTGGGACACCCCAGATGATTCATTCTGCCTTCCACCCCTCAGTTTGAGGGATTTCAGTGAATTGGGACACCCCAGAGGGTTCATTCTCCCTTCTGCCCCTCAGTTTGAAGGATTTCAGTCCCTTGGGACACCCCAGAGGGTTCACTTTTCCTTCTGCCCCTCAGTTTGAGGGGTTTAAGTCCCCTGGGACACCCCAGAGGGTCCATTCTCCCTTCTGCCCCTCAGTTTGAGGAGCTTCAGTCCCTTGGGACACTGCAGAGGGTTCACTTTTCCTTCTGCCCCTCAGTGTGAGGGGTTTCAGGGAATTGGGACACCCCAGAGGGTTCACTTGTCCTTCTACCCCTCAGTTTGAGGGGTTTAAGTCCCCTGGGACACCCCAGAGGGTTCACTTGTCCTTCTGCCCCTCAGCTCGAGGAGCTTCAGTCCCTTGGGACACCCCAGAGGGTCCATTCTCCCTTCTGTCCCTCAGTGTGAGGGGTTTCAGTCCCTTGGGACACCCCAGAGGGTTCACTTTCCCTTCTGCCCTTCAGTTTGAGGGGTTTCAGGGAATTAGGACACTCCACAGGGTTCACTTTTCCTTCTACCCCTCAGTTTGAGGGGTTTAAGTCCCCTGGGACACCCCAGAGGGTTCACTTTTCCTTCTGCCCCTCAGTTTGAGGAGCTTCAGTGCCTTGGGATGCCCCAGAGGGTTCACTTGTCCTTCTGCCCCTCAGTGTGAGGGGTTTCAGTCCCCTGGGACACCCCAGAGGGTTCATTCTCCTTTCTGCCCCTCAGTTTGAGGGGTTCCAGTGCATTGGGACGCCCCAGAGGGTCCATTCTCCCTTCTGCCCCTTAATTTGAGGGGTTGCAGTGCATTGGACACCCCAGAGGGTTCACTTGTCCTTCTGCCCCTCAGTTTGAGGAGTTTCAGTGAATTGGGACACTGCAGAGGGTTCACTTTTCCTTCTGCTCCTCAGTGTGAGGGGTTTCAGTCCCTTGGGACACCCCAGAGGGTTCACTTTTCCTCCTGCCCCTCAGTTAGAGGGGTTTCAGTCCCTTAGGACACCCTAGAAGGTTCACTTTTCCTTCTGCCCCTCAGTTGGAGGGGTTTAAGTCCCCTGGGACAACCCAGAGGGTTCATTCTCCCTTCTGCCCCTCAGTTTGAGGGTTTCAGTCCCCTGGGACACCCCAGAGGGTCTATTCTCCCTTCTGCCCCTCAGTTTGAGGAGCTTCAGTGCCTTGGGATGCCCCAGAGGGTTCACTTGTCCTTCTGCCCCTCAGTTTGAGGAGCTTCAGTCCCTTGGGACACCCCAGAGGGTCCATTCTCCCTTCTGCCCCTCAGTGTGAGGGGTTTCAGTCCCTTGGGACACCCCAGACGATTCATTCTCCCTTCTGCCCCTCAGTGTGAGGAGTTTCAGGGAATTAGGACACCCCAGAGGGTTCACTTTCCCTTCTGCCCTTCAGTTTGAGGGGTTTCAGGGAATTAGGACACTCCACAGGGTTCACTTGTCCTGCCCCTCAGCTCGAGGAGCTTCAGCCCATTGGGACACCCCAGAGGGTTCACTTGTCCTTCTGCCCCTCAGTTTGAGGGGTTTCAATGAATTGGGACCCCCCAGAGGGTTCACTTTCCCTTCTGCCCCTCAGTTAGAGGGGTTTCAGTCCCTTAGGACACCCCAGAGGGTTCACTTTTCCTTCTGCCCCTCAGTTAGAGGGGTTTCAGTCCCTTGGGACACCCCAGAGGGTCCATTCTCCCTTCTGTCCCTCAGTTTGAGGAGCTTCAGTCCCTTGGGATGCCCCAGAGGGTTCACTTTTCCTTCTGCCCCTCAGTGTGAGGGGTTTCAGTGAATTGGGACACCCCAGAGGGTTCACTTTTCTTTCTGCCCCTCAGTTTGAGGAGCTTCAGTCCCTTGGGATGCCCCAGAGGGTTCACTTTTCCTTCTGCCCCTCAGTGTGAGGGGTTTCAGTGAATTGGGACACCCCAGAGGGTTCACTTTTCTTTCTGCCCCTCAGTTTGAGGAGCTTCAGTGAATTTGGACACCCCAGAGGGTTCATTCTGCCTTCTGCCCCTCAGTGTGAGGGGTTTCAGTGAATTGGGACACCCCAGAGGGTTC